GGAGGTTCTTCATTCCATGGTGCCAAACATGGATAAGCCTGTGACTTTCAAGATGCCGTTGGGGGTTGTGGGTTCAGATATAACATACGACTTCACCATTGACAAGAGGGACCTCGTTCAGTTCCTCAACTTTGAGGAGCTTGATATAGCCTTCATGCAGCTTGCTATTTTGTAAGTTACAATATCATTTTCTTATTACATATTATACTTCATGCATGTCCTAATGTTTTTTACTTGAACAACAGGCATTTTAATCAAATCTGTCGAAACGGAGGACTTGAAAGAACATATGGCTTTATGTGTCCTCAAAGGGTGCAGAAAGAATTTAATACTGTGGAAGCAAGGTCAATCTACATTATGACCGCAATGAGTCAGACCAAAAAGCTAATATATTTTGCACCTTACGTGGAAGGGTAAGTGTATTATTGTATTTGAGATATACAAGTTGTATGTGTCGGGTTATAATTAACATGGTTTGCCTTTTGCAGTTATCATTGGACTCTAATTGTTTGTGCCCCTTTTGACAACAAAGTTTACTGGTTCGATTCACTCTGTGGAAGTCCATCCGAAGAAACCAAAGATGTCATCGACACGTTAGTTTTTATTTATATATTTATTACTTGTGAAGTTTATACAAGCATGCTCTAATATCATTTTCTCTTATAATGTTGATAGGGCTTTTCATACTTTTAATGTCGTGGCGATTAAACAAAATAGACAAGCACCAACATGGATTCTTCCACAGGTATATGTTGTTTTGAACTAACTTTTAAACATTTTTGGATGAATTAAAGTTAATGTTTATAATCAATAATGTCTAATATTCAATTTTATATCTTATTTTTTAGTACCGTTGTCAACAAGGACATGTTGAGTGTGGATATTATGTCATCCGCTACATGAATGACATAATTGAGACAGGAACGACTGAGAAATTAGACGAGGTAAAGATGAGTTACGTTGCATGACGTTCTTCAATTTATTTCACATTTTTGACTAAGTTTACTATGTTATTTTTGATTAATAGATATTTCAAAATACTGCGCCATATCTCATGGATGACATCAACTTGATGAGGGACACTTTGTCAACAACATTGGTAGAAAAAAATTGAAATTTAGCTTTCAAATAGATAGGTTATTTCTCAAAAAATTCATTGTTAGATGTTTTCTCTCGGTTCCCTCTTATATGTACATGTTCATGATTTCCATTGTACAGAGAAGTAGTTACTTCTATTTCAGAATTGTTGGACCTAGCCAATACGTGTTCCTTGGTAACCACTTAGTTCTATTATATTGGCCGGTTTCCCTATTTTCGAATTGTGTAAAAAAAATTTCATTGCTGTATATTAACTAGCTAATTGATCTTGTTCTGCTTGATCTGCACTGCCTACATTTGTTTGGAACTGTAAACTGCAGGGTGGTAAAAACGAAAATAAAGCAGAATTTAAAAAAAATGTATTTTTAACGGCGGTTATACATATAACCGCCGTTAAAAGTGTTTTCCACGGCGTTTTATTTAAAAAACGCCGTGGAAAGTGTTACTTTCAACGGCATAGAAAACCGCCGTGGAAAATCTCCTTTTCACGGCGGTTCTTAACCGCTGTGTTTTCCTTACCTTTCAACGTCGCCTTTAACAACTTCGCCTTGAAAACCGCCGTTAAAAGCCACTTTTAACCGCCGTTAAAAGCCTTTTTTCTGGTAGTGCTTTAAATATTATTCTAACATCAATTTCATCTTTTTCTTACCTTAGAAATTTCGTGCAACATACCCCCAGGGTTTCTAGCTCCCAAAAACTATTAAAGTCCATAACCAAGCTCAATAACAATAAGGGTAGTGAAAACTACATCAAAAACCATGAACGTACCTTGTTGTAGAGCTTAATCTTGCAAGGGGTCACTTGACCTTTCTCTCTCCTTCTTCTTTCTCTTTCTAGAATTCATTTTGCAAGAATTTTTCCATGGTTTCCACAAGCCTAAGATGAAATGAGGAGAGGGGAGGGGTACTTATAGAGTTTAAGAATAAATCCCAGCCATTGATCTTGAAAATATGTAGCTTAATCTTGACCGTCCATTTTTCCTCTTTGTCTTGTGGTGACAAGTGTCCCTATGACATCATGCTTACATCATCTTAATGACATCATACTCACATCATTAAGCCACATGTTTTTAATCCAACCGTACACGTGTCTTGCATCTAATCATACACGTGTCTTTCATCTAATCATACACTTGTCTCTTCCATATCCCTCCATCATTTTGGAATTAAAATAGGAAGGAAATTAATATAAAATTCGTGCAAAATATATCCCTTAGACATTCCTCCACCTATCTTGCTATTATGTACCGTATCGAGTACTTTTTCAGGTCCCGACTTACTTAGGACCATTGAGACATGTTCTGGTATCATTTTCTCACCTCAAATAAATCCACATGGCATTATATAACATGCCTAAAGAGGAAGTGATATTCTTCCCTTGTTTTTCCATTAAAATAAACTAATTATTAATAATATTTATTTCGGAGTAAATTTGATCGAATTCTTTCTACCAGTCTATGACTCTGAGAATCTGTTTTCAGGTACCAATATTATTTATTCATCAAGGGAAATTTCTACAATTTTTCTTAAGTCCAAACTCAACCTCTAGACCATTGACTTTGACTTTTTCTGGATAGTGTATAAATAGGTTTTAAATTCTATTAAAGCTAACTTTTTCGCTTTCTGGGGACCAAATTATTTTTAAAACCTGTGATAATTTCTCAAGTATTTTCTCCCATTTTCTTCCAATTATCTGAGGCCTCCCTATACTTTAAATAATTCATTTTCAACAATATTCAAAATCAATCAAAACCCTAGAAATTCCACAAATTCCTTCCAAGGGCATTTTCGTCATTTTTAGCCTCATATGGGCCTATGAACCTTATTCCTATTTTTTGGAATTTTTTTTGAAGTATTCAACCCTTAACCTACTATTTTCCATTTTCTAGGATTTTTTTTAGGATTTTCGGGCATAATTTTTATTTTTGCCCTTACCAGTCCAAAAACTTTACGAAACTACGATTTTGCCCCTGATTTGGCTTAACTTAAAATTTACCTCATTAAGGCCTCTAACATATCCTTTGGCTTATATTTATCTTTATTTCTCATTCCTGGGCCCTAAGACTTCATCTGAGTCTCTAACTTCCTCTTTTCTTAATCCCAGAAAACATTCTCTTTGCTATTTGGTCCATGAGAATCCCTCTGTCCTTCCAGGGAATCTCTGGAACCTCTGCTAAAAAAGTCTGGTAGCCTGCCCATTTCAGGCTAATTCTAGTATTTTTAGGCCTAAAATTTGAGATGTGACAGTCTAACCTCGATCTGACCATTTAACCCTTGATCTACTGCTTTGACTGGCTTAGTGTTTGGTTCGGTTTTTTGTTTCTTGCAAATTAAAAAGGGAAAAATTTGATCGAGTAAAAGTGCAAAAGTAAATTATACTACCCTAGTCCTATTTATACGGCAGAGAAAAGATATTTTTTTAGTCCTATTATAAGTCACATCTTTAAATTTTTCATATAAATGTACAATTTTATCATTCATTTATTATTCTCATAGTATATGTATATTAAATAGGGATAAGGTTGAAAACTTCTTGAATTTTAAGGCAAAGTTAATAAAGTTTAAGGTTTTTCTTGGTCTTTATAAAACATGCTAGAAGTGACTTATAAATAGAATTAGAGTATGTGATTATTATGTTAATTAATATGAAGACTTAAACTTTCACAATTCACACGATGCTTTAGTAATAGTAAGTACATTGTATTATACCAAAAAATAATAATAACTAAATTATTTTCAAACCACAATAGCAATAATGGTTTTTTCATATATGTATATAACATAAACACGTACAAAATTACACTGAATCATATTTTAACATTATCAAACCTAATGGGAGATAACTCTTTCAAGTTTGCATTCATACAAATGTAAACTTAATATCTTATATTTAAGTGGCCATAGCATTTTCTCATAGTATTAATACCTAATATTGCCCATATGAATATTCTATTACCTGCTCAAGTTTTAAATATAAGAGTAAAGTGGTTTATTTTGATCTTAAATATAAGAACTCAATCTATTTTATTTCACAAATTTATTTTTTCTTAAACTCTCCCTATTGATTACACATGCTAAGAGGGTTTTCCATCAAGGAAATAATTTCGCATACAAATTATTAGAAGGGATAATTTAGGAAAACAAACACATATTTTTAACAAATAACTAACTTAATTAATTTTTGTTATATCTACAAATTACTTGTCCTAGTTTTTACATTTAGAATTGAAAGAAGTATAATATTCATAATATGGGAACAAAGATATTATGATGAAAGATGTTTTATTATAAGATAAAACTTGGCATTTTTTTCAGCATATTTTTCGAAGTAGCCATGACTGATAGAATACCTTTTTTTATTAAATGACAATTTTATTAAAAAAATAAAATGAGATACATAAAAAGGCCTGAGTCTACTGAAATAGTAAAGGTCTAGTCCAAAAAGCCCTGATAGAATACCTATCCATTTAGATACAACAAGAGGAGAAAAGAAAACAACCCCCCCCCCGGGGGGCGAGAAAAGACAAGAAAAGGAAAATCTACAGAATTTAGAAGATGAGTGCAAAATAAAATAAGAATACGTGGTGATGAGAACGAGTGATGAAAAATTTGCCCTACTTGTTATAATTAAATTTTAAGATAATTCTAGGAGATCACTAAACGAGTGAACATACTATTTTATAATCTTGAGTTAAAAGTTTTAGTTTAAGATCCTTTAAAATAATCGTAGAAGTGATCTAGCTGCTTTGTTATTTGATTGTGCAGCTCTTATGGAGAAGTAAGAGCTCGAAAGATTCGGTGTTACAACACCCTTCTCCCTATCCAAGTGGATGGTCTGCGAAGCTGGGAGTTCTTGTTCTTTTTTTTTTTTTATCCCTTTGTTAGCTGGCTCAAGGGAAAAAAAATTTTCATGATAGCTAATGGTTCCCGCAACTTGTGAAATTGCTATATTTTTGTTTATATTCCTTGACCACTAATCAGAGACTAGGGAGAGCAGAAAAGTGCAGTTAGTGGAGCAGCCAGGCCGAAAGACAGTGAGCAGAAGTCCTCAAGCTGTAAGAATAGGGCCTGTAAGTCAAGGTCGTCCCATGTCTGCTGATGATATCCAGAAAGCAAAAATGCGTGCTGTATTTATGCAAAGCAAATATGGGAAACCAGGTTCATCTAAAGGAAGTAAAGAAGCAAAGACTGATGGTCTGAATAAACCTCAGACAAATCAGGCTGGTCTTCGGGCTTCCTCATCTAAAGTTCCGGTATCAACCAAAACTGATGAAGATAGCCAACCTCTGTTGCTTCCTTCTAAAAACTTCTACTATGAAGGATGCTTCTTCCTAATCATATTAGAGAATGGATTTGAAGGAACCTTTCTGGTTGAAGTGCAAGCAGGTGCAAATCCCGTGGAAGACACCGGCAGGTACATATGCAACTTTTGTTGGTTCCATCCATAATCTGACTATAATATTAGCATAGAAAAAATTGGTGACTCTTTGACAACTGAACATCTCACTATGACAGGGGGGGTAAAAGATTGCAGCCTATATTAGGAGGTTTCTCGATGTTGGGTAGGGAGAGATATACCATAATTGAATCTGCGCAAATTTTCTTGGAGGATGATTCCGATGCTTCTTTGCAGCTTCATCTTTTATAAATAGTTTTTTGGCTTATATAGATAGAATTAAAGTGGTGGGTCTATGCACTTGCTCTCCATGTAACTTGGGCACACTGGCCAATTGTATATACTATTTTTTATTAGTCTAAAAATTAGTAAAAAGATTGTTATTCAAATCTGCCTTCTGTTTTTATTAATCTCAAATACTAGGATTCTTGTTCAAGGGTCTTCTGTTTTCTGCAAACATCATCCAGTGGTTAAAATTTATTTGGTTACTGAACCTGTTTCTCATGCCTTGTTGACAAAATTATGTCAAGGGTGTAACGGTTCTAATTCCTTGTATGGGCTTCAAACGGTCTGATTTGATGATTTGATGGGTTGATTTTTCCAACCTACTATAAATGGATGAGATGAAGGCAAAGGCGAAGATCAGTTTATGACCATATCAAGTTCAATTCAAATGATTACCATTTGAATTGCATGTGGATGATGGCTTGTTCGTGGTAATCAGATGGCTTCTATACCTTTAAACCTTTCCAAAATACATATCCCCAAAAGGCACTTAAAGAGTGATGACTTTGGCCAGTTTTATTACATGTTACCACATTCCTGCTAAACAAGCAAAGCAACAGGGGAGTTCCAAGCTTGCCAGGGATCACCAATCCACAAGTTATTGCTGCTTTAATTGTTGACAAGTATTGAGGCGAGACCGCCCAAATGAAAGATAATGAAAAATTTTGATTCTGATTGTTTTTAATATTTCACTGAGTTTTATCTGTGCACCCTCTCTCAGGGATCATATGAGTAATCATAAGAATGTTTTGAAATTTTAATAGTGAATTCATCTTCCATCGGGCCTCTTAAACTTTACATAAGATGTCAGGCATACCTGGAGAGTCGATCAAATTCAGATAGCCATGCGGAGGTCAGTTACTTTGATAAACTTGGATCTGTTCTCTTACAGCAAATGCACATCGGGAGGAAAAACAGAGAGGGGAGGGAGGAGTAGTTCTCAGGCGGCTTGTTATTGTGTCTTCAAAAAAATGGGAAATCACTTCCATATACCCGTCCACTTTACAATAACCATTCCCCCCTTTTCAATTTAGACAAAAAAGTGAAAATCACAATTAGAGACCCGTAAGTTCTGTTATTTTTCCCAGAACCCCAAAATTAATGGGTTTGGGTTCAATCCACCAAGGGTGTCCATTTTCTTATACTCTAGCTGTTGATTGATGGCCCAAAAAAAAAAAAGAAAAAGAAAATGCTAGTTATGCATTTGATGATGAACTTATTGGCTAATTTGCAATTGGATTTAATAATATCACCTCAGTATGTTGGAATGGATGAGCAAAAACGAGCTGAAGTTCTAATTTTGAACCCGAGATGGCGTTTTCTTCTCCATGTGAGCATTCCAGGAGCCCAGTCCATGGCATTGGAAGTGGCGGTTTTATGTTGTAATCTACAAACATGGTCATGTCTCTATGTGCAATATTCGTTTTCTCTTTTAATCCCGGGTTTGAGATTTTGGGAGTTTGTATGGCAGCCATATCCTCCAATGCGGCCTAAGTTATGCACAGTAATTTGCAATTCTCGAGAATATCTGTGGGGTTAGAACACATATGCTATATAACACGTGCTGAACTGGAGTTCCATAGCCAGAAGTTTCCGACCTTAGCCTTCCTTACCGCATATGATTATATTTCTGTGGGTTTGAGATTCAGAGATTACATGAAGCAAGTAATTGTCTGTCTTCTTCCCTTATTCTTTTCTTCACTTTTCTTAGATCAATGTCGTTCTTTCTTCTCCTCGTGACTCTAAATTATTATCTTTGTTATGGAATTGGTAAACATTGCAAGTAATTAAATGACATGGTATATAATAAAAAAATATAAAAATTATGAAATGGCAAAAACCATTAACGTTAACGGTAATTTTAACGGCAGGGCTTGATAATCAAAACATGAAATATTAGGGTCTTTAATTTAAATTTTTAAATATTAAGGAGGTGATATGCAACCGACATAAAATTCAGGGGGTTTATGTATTTTAGCCTATTATTTATTAGTTAAATTTGTACGAATAATTGTGTTATAAATTATTTTACAAATCTGATGTCATTAGAAAGGTAATTAAGTGATTCAATCAAAATACCAATTTCTATCGAAACATAATTTATTTTTTCTTGTTCAATTATTTTTCTTCCTTTATTTAATTTTTTTAATTTTTCTCTTAATAAAGGTAATTAAGAGACGCATCGAACCTGCAGACACGTTGGGTTGGGTGAGAAGCCATGCTCTGAATGGCACCTGATTTGGGCAGCATCGGAGATGAAGACCTGGGAACAGTTTCTAAATTTTACAGTTTTCACATCACCCGTCTCTCTCAAACTCTCGCTCTCTCCTCCCTCGTCCTTCATGATTCACGCCTCTCTCCTCTTTCTCTCAGACGGGATCTCTTCTCCTTGGTTCTCTATATATATTTGGCGTTGGAGTCGGCCAACGTAGCTGTGCAAGAGGAAAACAGAGGAGAAAACGTAGTTGTTCTGCAATGGCCGGCTCTTCGGCTCTTCCTCCTCCTCCTCACCTCCTACAAAACATAAAGGAATACAGGTACACACACAGATATAAATATATATTCCCCAAACATTATATATATATATATATCTGTGTGTGTGTGTGAATAAAAGTTTATGGGAAAAAATTCATACAAAAGGAGAGAGCATTAGTAGACTCTTTGAGTATTAGTTTATCCATATATTCACTAATCTTCTAACAACGTAAAGGAAGGTCAGTGGATAATACAACTTTTTATCAGCATCCATCCTTTACAGATACACAAACCCACTAATTATAAAAGGGTTAAACAATTCAATACAAATTTTATATTTTAAGTTGATATTAATTAAATTACATCAAATCAATTTCATATTCAATTTAAAATCATATTAAGTTAAGTCAAATTGAATTCAAAAATAAAAGTAAAATATAACAAATAACAAATCCCAAATAGTCATCTTTCTTTGGCTTGTAAGTGGCAAGAGCTATAAGGCTCTTTATTCAACTGTCCATATTTTATTTTTACCATTTCACCATTTCTATCTATAGGATCAAACATGGTTTAGTAGTTTGACAACTAATTAATTAACATTTGTGGTAGTTAAAGGAGGCGTTACAGAGAGGCTTATTATATATATTAATACAAGTTTTCATTAATTTTACAGCAAATTAAACTTGCTATTTATGCACTATATTACCTTCGATCTGTTTCCACTGGATTTGAATCTAGATTTCAACACTGAATATTTAATAGTTTTGAAATTTTCTAGTTGAATTGGGGATAAAGACAAAGGTGAAATATAAAATAAGAGCAAAATAAATTCAATTAAATATAATTAAGCTAATGGATGGAAATAATATTTCAAGTTAAATTAGAAACTTTGTTATGAGTCAAGTCACTTTTGTGATATTTCCACCTAAAGAAGAAATTAGTCTTTGACTATTAAGTGGGAGAATATTCTTAATACACACAAAAAAATAAAATTAAAGAAAAATATGGCTTTAAATTTTCGAAATCTCTCAATTATCGATTTAGTTCTTGCTAAGAACAATTATTATACTTTCTTTACTCAGAAACAGTTTGGGCCTTAATAAATTACTACCTCCGATCCTTAATATAAGATCTTGTTTGACTTTGATTTTGATCCTAAATATAAGACCCCAATCCACTTTGTCTCTCATATTTATACATTTTTTTCAAAGTAGCCTTTCTAACAATGATAGTTCTAATCAATAATACACTTGATTAGTAAGAATATCTTAGGAAAGACAACACATATTTAGGACAAATAACTAACTCAACTTACTTCTTTAATTTCCTCAAATTAGTCAACTAGCTCTTATAATTAGGACTAGATGTAGTACAAGGAGACTAAGTTGAGAAACTATAATAATTGATATGTTTTGAGTTACAGCTTAAGACCTAGGTTTATAAGGAAAGGGGAAAAAAACACGGATCAAAAGTTATATTTTTCTCAATTTTTCATATAGTAGGCCCACCTATTTTGGAAAAAAAAAAAAAAGAAACAAAATAGTATGGGGAATCCGTCTATGATCCTAATTTGTACTTGTTGTGTTTGTTGTGATTATAGTTAACAAGGGGTAATCAAAAGGTGAGGTAAGGATAAAGTGTTGGGCTGGATGACTGGGATAAACAAATGGTGAGGTGGAGTTGGAGTTCAGGGGAACCTAGCAACGAGTGTGGGAGATAATCTAGCAATTAGTATTAACTTTGATTTCTTGATGATTAGTGTTTTTAATGGAATTGAAAGAGTAATACTTCTCTGATCCTTAATATAAAACTTATTTAACTAATTTAATTCAATTAAGAAAGTTAAATAAGTTAGTTAATTATAGAAATATCACTTTTTTTTCTGAAACGCCATAATTATTTTTCTTCATATCCTTCTCTCTCCTACTTGATTATGGTCGATAAAGGAGTATCAATAGGAATAATTTTTAAAAAATTGATACATATAACAAATAGGTGTTACATTTAGGACTAAGATCAACTTAATAATTATGTTTTCCATCAAGGACCAAGGAGTATTAATTTTCATCATATTTTAGTGCCTTCTCTTATTGCCTTTTGCCACCATGCACATATATTAAAGAACCTTCTGTTGTTTCACTCAAAAACAAAAAAAAAACCTTCTGTTGTTTCACTCAAAAAAAAAAAAACCTTCTGTTATTTATTGCGATTTATTATAATATATATAGTCAGACTTTAAATTAAATAAGGAATTTCTAGACTTACTATTAAATCAATATATCAATAAACACTCTTCCACCAAAGCTCATCCCTAAGCCTGCTTACCATCGGCTATAGAAACAAAGTTACTGTTCAAAAGCCATATACATTATTGATATATAATCCTATGGCTTCGTATTAGCTCAAATGCATTTAATGTAGCCATATTTGGCTTGATGCTCGGCTTGGATGTCTGTTTAGAATGTCCAAATTCAAATTTAAACATTTGTTTTTCCCTCC